CTTTCAAGACCTCATCAAACCTTTCTTCTTTGTTAGTAAGAAATAAAGACTCAATTCCCATTCTCTCCCGTTCCGGTGTTTACCAACTAAAATATCAATAGATAAATTAGAATCAATGAACATAATGCATTAATTCCACAGTACACTAACAAAGGCATAACAAATACAAATTCTGCTTTTGGCAACCATATTTTAGAAAACAATCATTCCTTTCATCCGGTTAATACTTAATGTCGAAGTCCTACACATTTTAAATAAATATACTGCTCTTAATTTTTTTTAAATATTTGAAATTTATAAGGTAGTCAAAGACCACAAATTAAATTGCGTTAACAAACAGACTTATTTCAAAACTCATCCTGTCTTCTCTTCTAACGATCCCTTAAAACGTTCCACACCAGGGGTGCTATTCTTGACTTTATGCGTTTATCTGTCGGTATAATCTTAAATAGAGACACGTTACTACACACAACAATATTATAAATTCTTTGAGGTGTGAAACCGCGTACACCTACGTTGTTTTCTACTTGTTCGGCAGCAGTTGGTAGGTACCACAACATCCCCAACTTTCCCATGTACAGTGTACACCTGGTAAAACAAATGAGGAACAGTTTTGAAAGTACCATTGCCGAACCAATAACGCGATAGTCCAGAATCAAACAATAAAAATTTGTCACTTCTCCCTGTTACTTTAAAGTATTCCGGTAAAAGTAGTGCTGCTCTACAGGCCGGAATGGCAGGGATATCATTTTATTTATCCTAGCATTTCGAATCGTTCCTTTTATACTGAAATCTACATATATAAAGTAAATCGGTTGTTAGCTCTCATTAACCCACTATACCCAACTTACGCTCCTGTTATCATCAAAGTGAAGCAATTAATCTTTTTAATAAACGCTGGTTGTATACAACAAGTAAAACCAATACGAACTAATATTATAATAACATGTTTTTTAAATTAAATGACTTTTATTAACAAGGCATTGCATTTTAAATTTTTAAGAATTGCCGTCAAGTTTATTTTTGTCGGTTTTATTACAGTCATAAATTATTACAATTCAACACTTATACTTTTGTAAAACTAGTTGTTCATAATGTGTTGAATTAAAATTTTTAATTTTTATCGTAACAACATTCCATAAGAGAAAAAAGTGAACTTGTTTAAAATGCGAAGGTTCTTGATTAACTCACGTCTTGTAGGCTGTTAATATAAATTTTCGCTCAAATTATTGGTAGGCTCGTCGGTAACACACACCTAAACCGGTTACGAATGAAATGATGAACATGTATTTAAACTTATTAACAAAAACCAGTAATAATAATGGCAATTTTCTGTTAAGTACCATAAAACATAGCTATATATCTTTAATTATATAAGTATAAGTAATTTTACAGGTAGTTTTTCCTTTACACAATTTTTTTACGAAGAAATTTCATTCAATATTTCTCTGTTGTTTACATTGTTAAGAAACATATGTGAATTTACTTACCTGCTTATTAAAAAGTCTTTTAGGTCAATCTTTTAATAAATGCATGTAAAATTGAGGTCATTATATACTCATTCATTTATTACGTTGTTACATCACATTACTGTAACGCATGCAGGCCTAATGTATTTATTACGTAGATCACCTTACTTGTGAGTGATGTGTAGCATTTTGTACTACTCGTATTATAAAATCTGCAGCAACTGCAATATCTGAATATCTATTTTGACTCATTAATAAAAACAATTATTAGGAACGTAATCGAGTTAGACTCAGTAATTCAAGGGTTTTATTTATTTTCTTTATTATTATTTTGTTACTTTCTTTAATCTCCTTGTTTTTTTTTAGGTTCAATTAAGCATTTATAATATGTTTGAATTATTGTTTTTCTGTAGTTAGGTTTTTTCTTTTAGTATGTAGAAAAAAAATGATATTATTAATACATTAATATTTTACACGATTAAAAAAAAGAAAAAGTTACTATTGCTTTATTTAACACCAAAGTTTCAAACAACTAAAGCATAAGTGATATGACTATTATTTAAAAATTTTAATTATTCATTTCGTTTAATAACGTGTCTATGTCATAAAATTTTAATTAGACAGATAATCTTCGAACTACCGGACTAAATGTTGTCAAATTTTGTATCTATATTAGAAATATCGTGTAGCTGGTAAAACGCTAATCAAAATTTGTATAACCGTCCTCACCAACAATGGAATAACGTCATTCCGAATTCTACAATAGCCAATGTTAATTAAATTTTATAAAATAACAAATTCCTGCACCCGTGGTTTTTGAATCCACATCTTTATCACAGATATCCATATTTTTGGGAAAAAATCAAAATTGTACATATAACATTTTCCAATTTAACTTTGAAACTGCTACGACGATCGCTCTGAAATCTTACGATCGTGTTAAGGTTCTGACGAGCACCGTAAATCGTTAATCAAAATGTATCCGTCTATCCCTTCCCAAAAAATTGATGATGTCATCTTAAAATTTTGCCTAATAAATCATATCGACAATATACAAAACATTATGGTTATATACTTGTACTTTATCATAGATTTTAGAATTAGTTATACACGGTAGCTCAAAAAAATAATGAATAAGGCAATCTATTTGATTGATCAAATCAAGAACGGTTCACCCCATTTTTCAAAAATTTTACTGCATGTATAAATTATATGTATAATATATGAATGTCTAAATAACCTCATTAGACCAATTTTTGACTAATAATTATTCTATAATGACCAACATACAGTTGTCCTAGCTGAAAAGAACCCTTTCTAAGTTTCGCTGAAAATACTTTTTTTTCTCATGAAGCTACACATGAATAATATAGATATTTTCTATTAGCCAATAGAGGAGAGTCATCTTTATATTTTAATTATTTGCAAAGAGGATTTTTTCGGTAGGTACATGACAAAATATTGTGAATTTTTTTAAAATAAAATTTCAAGTGTTCGTTAATTAAACAAGCACATTTTACTCTCAGATTTTACTCTAGATTTTGGTCGCAGCTTTTTAATTTTTATTAAATATATAATGTCTAAACAAAAGAAATATCACTATATACCTGACAGACTTATCAGCAACTAAAAATGAATACAAAACGCAAGGGATGTATTCTGATTTATGCAAATGTTACAGAGGTTATATATAAATGTTGCCAATGGGACAGGTGAAATCTTAGCCGTTTTTTACTCAAGATAAAACGTTTTATAAATATTTTAAAATTTGATTTTATGAGATAATTTTTGGGTACATACTACATTCCACTTGTTGTCTCTTTAAGTTTCATAATTACGAAATATACGTGGATTAATTGCAGTGAGTCAGTTTAATCAATTTATATAGTTAGCGTTACAGACAGCGACTACCACGTGACCACTTTGGAAAAGCAATTCGAAAATTTAAAATCCAAATGATAATTTGTGAAGATATATGTGTATTAATATCCACAATCAGTTAGGTATGCTGTTGTTTCGGAAATTTACAAGGCCAAGGTTGACTACCTGCTGAATAATTTATTTATTTGTATCCATTCCTGGTTTGTTTTGTTGTTCGCATAATTATTGTAATTCTCTACTATTTTTACTTTTTTTATCTGCCAGACGATAAGGTCATTTTGAGTAGTGCCTTATTTTGTTCTTTTAGAATTTCATAGGTGGTAGAATACAAAATTGCAGGTTTCCTGTTTCTATCGGTTTTGCTGTCTGCATCTGCGAAACTGTCGAACCGAATGGTTTAAAATTTTAGGTTTATTGTGAAAATGGTACTGTTTGCTTTTAGCTTCCTGTGAGGATACGTCGTGTGCAAAAAAGCGGAGTTTTGCGGCGTGTTATATACAAGACTTTTTGCAATTTTACAAAAATGGTCCTAAATAATAATAATAATTATACATTTCAATTATGGTGGCGCGAATAAATTTCAATTAAAAGTTAAGTGGCTGAAAATATTTTCCTTGATTACTGCCGTTTTTATAATAAATGACAAAAACAATTATGAGATTCAGTTTTCATTATGTTAAAAGTTTGTGGTTATTTCATTGTGTTTAAAAAAAATGAGTGCTTCAGATGAAGACGACATTGTTCTTAAAATTACCGCACAAAAGGGCCTGTCATATTTAATCTCCTAAAAATTCGCCTACGAAACGACATACCGCCGTTTTGAAGAATGGAGCCCTAAATTGCATTAATACGAAGGTACTTTATATTTTAATTCTAAATAAAATTTTCAATAAAATTTTCATAAAAATTGCAATTATTAATTTTTAATATTGACACCGGTTGCAATATGAAAATCTACGTTAGCACTCAAAATGATAAGAAAATATCGTCATATTGATCCAAAATTGCAAAAATAATATAACAAAATAAGTTTCTAATATTATTTCTACCTAAAAATATTACTTGAATTTTTAACCTGCTTACAAAGTAATTCATTTATATGTGTACTCTTTATTTAGCTTGTCATTTTATTTTATGTATCCTAAGCCAGACCGCTCTTCCTTGCAATTTAAGCAAATAATAAATTTGATTCGTTTCATTTATATTTTAGAAATTATTATGCAGTTGTTACTTTAAAGGCACATTCTGAAATGCAGTTATATGTCGTGGAAATAATGATACAGCAAAAGTGAGGACCGTTCTGTGTAAATAAATCCAAAGATTTTTATTTTATTTTTACCTTTATCTTCTATATATTTATTATATGTTTACTAACATCGATTTTACTTTACATAGCTCGCATAATTGTTGTAAATCTACCATCATATTTTTTTTATTGTACGATGACTATTCAACGGGTGTATGTGTTACAGTTTTATTATTAATTTCTTATTTGTAATTTTTAACTATCTTTATCAAATGAATTATTTCTGCATATAAAGACCGCATCTTCTAATATTTTTTAATATTAAAATATTTGTCATGTATACAATTCCATAATTTTAAATTGCTAAATACTCGTATACTGTAAATTGTAACTAACTTACTGAATATGTTTTACTTATATATTTTTTTATTATTTTTATATTACAGAGATGATATATTTTTCTCTTAACTTTTATATAACAAACGCACTAATTATAAATGTAGACCAAATATCCAGCCAATGTGTCTTCTAGTAAACCACTGCACCCCATCCGTAAGTAGGGTAATAGGCTGCATAAGGTACTGCCCCCACTGTGTACCATTGGGGATCTGGAACTGGCGCAGGTTTGGGAAGAGCCAAAGCGATGGCCAGCAAGGCAAAGAAAAAGAGCTAAAGACAAAATTTACTTAGTTAATACGACAATTAAAAAAAGTAATGTAGTTTTTTAAGAGCAACCACTAAAATACTTTACGTCAGTACTCACCAATTTGAACATGATGAATCTGATCAGTAGCACTGGTTCTACTAACCTATAATACTGTATTGTGTGGATCTTCCTTATATACCTACTAAATAGAATCCATAATTTGGTCATATGACTAATCAACATGTTCACTTACTAGTTTTTTGCAAGAAGACAAGGATGTCTATTTAAAAACACAACTATCTCATATAAATCAAAACAAAAACCTGAACACTTACTAAAGAAACGTCGTTAGAATAATTACCGTTAATAGAGACGGTACCTAATAATAGTAATTACTAAACGGTGCAGTAAAAAAACTCGTGTTTATGTATATGTTTACTCCAGTTTGAAAAGCTATAGTAAGGTAATGCAAAATTGTAGCAGGATGCCGCCCAAGTCGCATATAAGAATAATTAAATAAAAGATGTACGAATACATCATTAGTGTATAGAAACGAAATAATATTCACTGTATTCTCGACGTTTTGTAATTCCTAAAATACTAAAAAATAATCCATTTTGCCCCCATACATCAGATCCCAGGTCGCGACGTAAACCTATTATTTTTAAAATAGCAAAGTATATATTTTTAAACATTTATGTGTATTCTCTTAGTTTTAACTGTAAAATAATAGAAATGAAATTATTTAAATGAAGAAATATATATAATAAAAACACATGTGTAAACACAATTACATTACCTACTACTCTTAATTTTTGACTACTACAATATTTCTGTGTTGCACATCGAAAATAGTTCAATTTTCTAATTCTAAAAAATATTTATTATAAAAATTGGATAGGTAGTAGAAGCCCTTCTCGATAGCCAGGTTGAAGACCAGATTTAATGTCCTTAGATTATTTCTTGTGGTGATACACAAAAGATTTGATGTACTTATTTGCAACCCTTGATATGGGTGAACTGTTAATGAATAGATAAAGAAGTATAACATGCTCGCTTATGTTTCAAGTGAGTTTTTCCATAACAAAATTTCGTGGTGACGTCATCAACGTTTAACTAAAGACACGTATATAATTTTATTCAGGGCAGTGTAATACTAGTAATAACAGTAGGGTATACTAAAATTTTCGGGAACATGAGGCGATCAGTTCTTGATTTGATTAATAAAACAAATTGTCACATTTTTTTAGATCACCTATATAAATAATTCTAAAAAATATAAATGCATTGATAAACCACTCATGACATTTTTCATACTTTGGATAAGATTTATTCAGCAAAATTTTGAGCTGACGTCATCCATTTTTTGGAAGGGAATAAACGGATGCATTGCTCTATTAACAATTTACCATACTTACGATAACCTTAAGTTAAATTGCAAAAGATTTGATGCAATTTTGATTTTTAGGATAAACACAACACGGAATTATAAACCACAAGTGCATGAGTATGTTATTTTATAAAATTTTAATCAGATTTACTATAGTAAATTTTTTACATAATGTCGTCTCATTGTTGGTGGGGATGATTAGCCAAATTTTTGTTAGCGTTTTACCATCTACATGATATTCATAATATACACCAAAAATTTGACAACAAATGGTCCGATAGTTTGTAATAAAAATCGATACAAACAACAGACAGACGGAAACGAGAGAAACCAGAGAAAACATGACGGTAGCAAGTCGTCCGGTAGACTCGATTACAATACTTTCTTCGCTTATGCACAAGAGGTGAAAAAGTATAAAATGAATCGATTTATAGATTACCGTTTTAAACAACTTAGTAAATAACTTTAAAAAATAGAAACATCATACCGTTTCTCAGAATACATTTTCCTTGAAATTTTTTGTAAAGGTAAATTATATTAATTTTCATATTATACAGTCTAATATTAATCACAAAATTAATACGTTCCCAGAATTTCTGGAAAATACATGTATCATTGGCAGTTTTCGGAAAAAGATAAATATGTAGATAATTTTAATTAAAATGTTGCTTTTACTAAAGTTTCCGTTAAGCCGGTTATGCAGTTTCTAAAACAACTTTCAAATTACATTGCAATACTTTTTTGTTATTTTAGTACAGTACCCTAATTAAATTTAAAAATAATACCTAACGAATTATTAAACCACAAGTTTACTAAGCAAAATTTTGAGACATCATTATTTTTAAAAAGATATAGACAATAAATCTTGTTATTACGTTAACAAATTCACGATAATCCGAGTACTGCTACATAGAAGGAAATTTGTAATTATAGCTTTATTTCCAAATTAACACACATTTTTAAAAATATTAGATTCTTAATTTTTTTCTTTGATTTTATAAATTGATGTCTGTTTTTGACTTGCATGATTGCCGGTCATTTCCGGATCAGTGATGGATCTAAAATAATATAGTAATAATAATATATTTATCTATAAAATAAAGTACATAATTATAATAAACAAAAAATGGGAAACGCGGATTTAGACAGACAATACAATAAAAATTAAATTAGTGGTTTCTACAAAAGAAAATGGTCGAATGTTATTTCGACAGAAGTTCCCTCGCCCCTGAAGAACAACAAAACAAATACAACTTTTTCGAAAAATTATAAAATTGGATTATGCAAATTTTGTTTTTTTAATGAGAACCTTTACAATTTAAAATAAAGATATATATGTAACGTAAAGTAAATGTAAAGAAGCGTGCTAAGCATATGTTTCAAATGAGTTTTCCCTTAAGAAAATTTTGTGGTGACGTCATCATTATTTTCGCAAAGACACTTTGGATAGGTGGAATTTAATATTAATAATAATAGTATTGTATTCCCCAATCCTCGAGAAAATGGAGGCAGCCGTTCTTGATTTAATTAATAAAATAAACTGACTCATTAATTAATTTTATGAGTCAACCTGTATAAGAAATTTAAAAGCTTTTAATGCAATGATAAATCACAAGTTTAGACTCATCATATTTTGCACATTTTGGAAAGGATTTATTTAACAAAATTTTGAAATGATGTCATCCATTTTTTGAAGGGATAAACAGATGTATTTTGATCAAAAATGTATTGCGCTTACGATAAATTTAAGATTTCAAAACAATCGGTTGGGCAGTTCCTGATTTAATGAATAAAATAAATTGACTCTTTCATTGATTTTTTGAGTCAGCCTTTATGAGTAATACTAAAAACTATGAGTGCGTTGATAAACGTCATACTATTTTGCATATTTCAGAGAGAATTTATTCGGCAAAGTTTACCACGATTGCGACAACCTTAAAATATTTACAAGATTTCAGAGCATTCGGTTTTGTAAAGTTAAATTACTGTTATACAGTTTTGATTTTTTTTTTAAGTTCTGGATAGCTAGGGTGAAAATTTGACACGGATTCACACAGCACAAGTACAGGAGTATCTTAATTTATAAAATTAAAAAAAAAACTTACTACATATTATAAATTTTGGAGATGACATCATCCCATTGGTGGTGGGGATGATTAACCAAATTTTAGTTAGCGTTTAACCATCTAGACGATATTCCTACTATACATACAAAATCTGACAATAACCGGACAAACAGACAGATGTGAACGGGAGACCACTTTTTTCGTACGCTAGAGATCATGACACGTCAAGAAAATATGAAAGTGGCAATTTGCTCGATGGACTCGATAATTTTACTTCCTTAGCTTATGCTCGGGAAGAAAAATCAGATCATTCATGCCACAAAAATAAATACCTACTTAAATTCCTCAATTACTTAAAAAGTAGATAATTTTCTGTTTTCTTCTAAAAAACAATTGTGTCGCACATAATTCAAATATTGCGCATTTTAAAAAATGTATATGTATAGAAAAAAATATTTGTTTCACATATAAGTTTATTAAAGTGTTTAACTACAGCATGATGTATTAATAATGCAATAAATATTTTATGTTGCCATGTATCGAATCCAATGAATAAGTAATTACATTCATTAAAAGTGTTCTCCAAATGAATTAGGCGATCCGAAAGTACCAAAATACTTCACATCATAGCTCGCCACCCCCGCATCTCCAAAGTAAGGACGGTGACTGTATACAGAGAAGAACGTCTTTATTTGTGGCGCAGCTTCGATCGTCCACAAGCAGAGAACAGCCACAATTAATAAATATAACAACTAAACAAGAAACCGAATGTTAATAGAATAAAATTTTAATACAAGCATTTTACTTACAAGTTTGTTTTTGAGCATGGTTTTGCTACCGTTCCCAAGAGTAAACTGCACAACTTCGCAAACGAGAGTGGTCAGGGCTGAGACTGAAGCAGGAAATTTAAGCTGATTTGAATTTTGTTGTCCTGTTTTGAATATTAAATGCGCTACATAATGTTCCAGGATATAACCAAATAACATCTCATAAATAACCAGGTATGTGGTTCATTTCATACAGGTGAATCATTTTCATTAATATGTTGAATACGTCAGAAGTATAATTTTATTTCGGTGATTGCAACATATGTTTTCGACAATTAAATATGTTAAAGACCATTTGCGGTAAGGAATACTTATACTGAAGGATAAGTTCACGCCAATATCATTATCAAGGTGAGTAAGAAATACCAAATTATTTAAACCTGATAATACGTCGACACAGTTTAAATCTTTGAGCACTGGATTAAAAATATCAAAACAAAAATGCGCAAGTGTACAGAACGCTGAAAAATAGATAAAATGTGGAAACTGAGAAACGTAAGTAGCCGAATTATTATTCACATGAGGACTGAAATTCAACTGCATACCACTACTAATGAAATAAACTAGTTTTATAATTTAATAAATATATAATAACATAATAAAATGTAACCACTTTTACGTCTTTTCAACATAAATTTTTAATGTGAAGTTTTATTACAGGCTTAATAAAATTTGCTATATTTTGGGTAATATTCGCCAATAATAATCATCAGTACGGTGTTTTTTATCTTTTGTTGCATATATTCGTTAGGAGTATTATATTTCAATCTTTTCTATATAAAAATTTTATTTCTTATTTTTAATATCAAGAATCATTTATGTAATTATTGAGGATCATGTTCTTGTTTAGGCACGTATACTCAGAGTAGAAATTATGTGTTTTACATATGTTGTAAAAAAAGATTCATTTTTAACCTAAGAAATTTTATTCAAACCAAAACAAATTACAAAGAAGAGTCAGATGGTCGAACTTTTGACTAAAATCAAATCACATTTATTTTTTAAAAAACGTATCCGCCATAACCGTAGCCCAATCCGTAGCTGTAAGGGGAATAGGCTCCATAGGTACCATATCCCAAACCTCCAAGAACGTACTGTGGAACAGGTTTAGGAGAAGCCAAGGCGAAAGCCAAGAGGGCAGCCAAGAAGACGAACTGTAAAAAATATTAAGAAACATTAATAACCATTTTTCATACTTGCTAAATTTTAGGTTGGAATAATTAAAAGTACTTACAAGTTTGAACATTTTGAATAGTTGTTGTGATAGCTTGTCAGTAGCAAACACTGACGAAACTAAGTTTGCCTACAATATTTATACTAATCTTCGGGGGTGTGTCTTTCGAAGCTACAACGCAAAAGCAGGAAGTTCGCACACCAGCCTCCAAAATGTTAAGTGGGTCAACATTACCAATTAAAAGGCAACGTGGCTACTTAAAAAAAGTTTAAATTTAAATATCAAGTTCTTCGAAAACGTGTTATTTATGTTTTCAAACAAAGAGACGTAAAATACTTTCTTGTGACCTTCTGCAAAACGGTAAAGCACATCCCCTCAACATGAAAGCCTGTGTAATCTTTAGCTACTAATTTGAAGGTCTTCATCTTTTTCACACCTCCCAAATTTTGTATAAAACCCCTGAGCATAAGTTTCAGTCGCATAATTTGTTTTCTGCAAGTTACCTACGCAACAACCACGATGTTCAAACTTGTAAGTACAACTGTCATTGTGTATTACATGAATTTAAAAAATGTTCCTAATAATGAATATTTATAAAATTCTGTAGTTATTAAGAAAATATAGGTTTTAACTTTCATTGTTTCGTTAATTAAGTTTTTTCCTTTCAGTTTGTTTTCTTGGCCGCTCTTTTGGCTTTCGCCTTGGCCGCTCCAAAACCTGCGCCTCAGTATTTGGGTCTTTACGGAGCCGGATTAGGATATGGCTATGGCGGCTATGGCGGCTACTACGGCGGATATGCCCCCTACGTCGGCAGCTACATTCTATAAGACCTTTGACTGAATAAATACATTAGTAAATTAAATGTTTTTTGTTTTTGACGTTATACAAATCATCCTCTCTCATTCAGCCAATCTGTATTACTACACTAAAATGCAGTATCTCAGTAAGGATAACGTATCCACTGCAATTAAAGAAATCTTTATAAATACAAAATTAAAAATATTAAAAAATAAAATCAACACAGACATTTGGAACAAATTATTTGATTTTATATTAATTACTTGCATATATCTATTACTGTGGTGATAATATGTTACCCTTTTATTAAAGTGAAATTATATCATTATTCTCCCTTCGATAAGCATATTAGGGTGTAATATTTCACCATATTTCAACCAAAGAACTCTTGTTGATTATTATTCCTATCGCAGTTATAACCCTACATGGTTTTTTTATGATGAATACGTTATCATTATTATTATCTAATTAAAGTATTAAACCACCAGTAAAGCAGCTGTGTGTATTGTAATAAGAACAGTAATATATTCCTAAACTTTTGGAAAAACTACATATTACCTATATTACTCAAGCACAAACAATATTGCATCTCAAGGCATGTATGTATTTATTATATATTATATTCTATAATTTTAACCGGTGCCATCAAAAATTCAAAAAAATTGGCCATGTAAGTTATAAAAAAACTGTAACATTTTATTTTACAATTTTTTGTTTTGTTTTTGGATAACCTAAATATATGTGATTTTAGAATAGACATACATCATTTACTTTCCAAAATTTTGAGATAACGTTATAAAATATCTAAAGAGGATGACCGGACATAATTATTTTGATTCACGTTTTAACAACTACATAGGTACATGATAATCTGAAATTTCACCTTAATCGATTGAATAGTTTCAGACAGACAGATGGAAATGATATTTTCGTATTTTACAAGCTATGAAAGGTCGAAAAAATATGAAACTCGTCAAAATAATTCCATAGTTTATACTTATAAATAAAACTCCCTTTTTACTATAGTTATATTTTTCATTTCAGGATAATTTGATATTTTTTGAGACGACAGTTCTTATACATACGAGTACAATGTAATTCTCATTAGAAAATGTATTTAAAAAATTTTGGAGATAGTAGATGAGCATTTTAAAAGATTGTAGATAAAATTAATCGTCATTATGCTAATTTTTAAAATGACATCATCAATTGTTTTGAACAAGATAAATAAATCAATTGCGGTTTCTGTAATTCATAAATCGCTTTAAAACCTTAGAGAAGTATGAACGAAATCTATTATGTAATTGAAATTATAAAGTAATTTGTTGATAAAAATCCCAATATTTGAAAATGGGAATCTATCAGAAACGGATTAATAAACTACAATTACAATTATTACATTTAAAAATTACAAAATTTTATTTGGCGTTTGTTCCTCTTTATGAGAAAATAAAGTTCTCTTTAGTTCTTGAAATTATGTTTCCAATTAAGTCGCCAGCAACAAAAGCCCAACCTGCCTTTTCGTTTTCTAGGACCAAGAAAATATGCAATTTGGCGTTTATCCAAATGATCCTTACAAGGGTAAAAAACATACAGAATAATATTAACTCCACATTAATAGGAAAGTATATAAATATTAAATAAACACTAGTTTTAATATTTTTCACTATTTATTATCCTAATCTAGTTGAAGTGTGTAACAACAATGCATCATTTAATAAATTGCAGCACCATAGGCGTAGGGAACAGCGGCAGCATATCCTCCATATCCGTAGTAACCTCCATAACCCAAGTTTCCGTAGTAGAATTGGGGATTGGCTTTAGGTACAGCCAGAGCGAAAGCCAAAAGGGCAAACAACAAAAGCTATGAAAATAAATAAGTGTAATCAATAAAATACTACGCTAACAAACACTATCTTACCAGTTTGAACATTTTGTAGATTGTTGGTTCGACTTGTATCAAATCAGATCTGATTGTTCTCTTGAAAATTTAGACATTTTATACTTGTACTCTTAAAAAGGGTGTGTCTGGTACTATTTGGGAGGCAAATCAAAACGTAATAGACACACCTGCTGAGTTAATGCTAATTAGATCAAGTTTTTCAGTTTCTGTAATTACTAATCTTTAAATTAATTGTATATAGGCACAATTTTTATTAAGACAAAGTTTATTTTCATTACAATGCACTTTTGTGTTTGTTTTAAAAGTTACTTAGTAACATTTATCATTTGGTTTACTATTTGTAAACAACTGTTATGTTGAAAAAATGTTAAACTTAAAATTAATTATTTTTTATTCAAATATTTTAACATATAAGTGACAACCACGTTATTAATTAGTATTCATGTAGTCGGTTATTTTGGTTTTAGTAATTACGTAAACACAAAATAAACAAACGAAAACCAGAGTTCTATGCAGTTTTTAAAGACACATTTGTTTCCAAATTCTGTTTGAGAAAGTGATTTTCACGTTTTTCTTCCCGAGCGTAAACTAAGGAAGTATAGTAGTCGAGTCCGTCGGACAAATGGCCACTTTTATGTTTTTTCGACATTTCATGACCCCAACAGTACCAAAAACTGGTCTCCCATTTCCGTCCGTCCATTTGAATGTTATATAGCAATATGCCCCTATGCGTATGGTGTACGAATCCGTTTTGAATTTTGAAACAGCATAATAAGAGGTTACCATTAACGTACAATATTCCGACCGTCGTTCAGTGGATAGCACCACAAAACGCGGACCGGCGGTCTCGCATTCGATGCCAAACTTGGCCTTTCGTTTTTTTTTAACTCTTTTAGCGCGCTGCATATTATCTATGTCCGTACTTGCGATTTGCGCCCCCACGGCACGGAAGCTGCGGGAGTGTTATCTATATACGCTGCTGGTTTCTACTTTAAGTATAGAGATTATCACAAAAAAAACATCGCAAAATCTAATTTTGTAATTTTTCAAAGAAACTTAATTTATTGGACTTGTACTTCCGAGGCAAGAGAAGTTCTATCGAAATATGCTACGACCAGTTTTTTACAATTCACATGGTGTGTAATGATAATGAAAGATGTGTTAGCTGTTTAAGACCCAATTTACAGAAAGCGAAGTTAAAGTTAATTCGCGATTAACTTTTAATTGAGGTTCGTCGCTAGGCAACGTGCAGGTTTTAACCAATCACGACTTCATATTCCACATTTTAATCCTCTGTTAAACTAATCGCGGATTAAATATTTAATTCGCTGTTCTATAAACCGACCCCAAATGTTGCAAATTATCCAGTATAGTAGCATTCAGTTGTTGGTTATAGCATTATTGAAAAACCTCATTTTTAGAGTAAGATAGTATTTTTTCAATGATAATCAAATTATTGTTTCGCCTGAATTTTGAAACATTCCATTCCAAAATAATGTAACGTTCCCTTAACTTCAGACTTCAATAATTCAAGCGTTGTTTAGTTCTTTTTTACTTATTTTTCTATATCGACAGCATGTTAGAACTATCCATATTACAAATAACAAATCAAGATTTATTATTATTCATTCATTAATTTTTTTGAATCACCCCGTATAAGTAATTCTAAAAGGTGTATGTGCAATTATAAATCAAAAGTATGGAGTCATAATATTTTGCAAATTTCAGAGAGGATTTATTTGGCAAAATTTTGAGAAGTCATCAATCTTATAATAAATTTTGATTAATGATTTACCACGATTACGATAACCTTAAATTTCAAAGCATTCGGTTTTGCATTTTCATAGTTAAATTGCAAAATGTTATTACGAGTAAGTATACAATTTTGATTTTTTTCCAAAAATCTGGACGTCTAGAGGGAAAACTCAACACGGATACCACAAGTACAGTAGTATCTTTTCGTATTCAGTTTAAATAACATATCCTGTTGTAAATTTTGAAGATGACGTCATCCTATTAGTGGTAGGGATGATTAGCCAAATTTTGGTTAACATTTCACCATCTACATGATAGGTACTCCTAATATATGCACTGTCTTTGCCATTTCTATTGAAACACCACCTGTTGATTTTGCTTAAAATTTAGGAATTGGTAACAGCTTTCGGTTGATTGACAACGGCTTTTAGTTAGAAAATCGTCTGAATATGAACGTTGCCAAATTTGCGATTAACAAGTGGTGTTTCAATAGAAATGGCAAAGACTATATGTACAAAATTTGACAATAATAGGTCCAGTAGTTTCGGAGATTATCTGACTAATAAAAGTCGACAGAGAGAGACCAGTTTCAAAATTAACCCCCGCCCCACCTATAAGAAGAGGGGAAAGGGACCAATTTTTTTGCACTTAAGTATTTCCCCCATACAATGATTAAATTTTGAATCTGAGCATTTTTTTGTAGAGTGCTTATTTTTCGAGATATTTGAAAGATAAAAAAATCACTCTGTATATTCTCTATAAGGTAGAAACCTGTGGCGTCAAACTTCGCGTAGTTTTTTTGACTTGATTTAAATTTTTCAATTTCTCTTGTTATTACAATTTTATAGGTTTGAGTTTCTTGAGCTTCCAAGTTGTAATTTAACAAGTTTTCGATTTGAGACTTTTCGTTTCGATTCTTCATTTTTTTTTATTTTTTCAATGTTTCAGTTTTTCAATGTTGTGGTTTTATAATTTTTCTTTTTTTCCATGTAAAACTTTTGGTTTCGGCAATTTTTCAATTTTCAATTTTTCGATTTTTCATTTTTTTCGATTTTGCAATTGTTTGAATCAATAAAAAGGAAAAATTACAAAATGGTAAACATGAAAAATTAAAAATCAATAAACGAAAAATTGAAAATGTATAAAATGAAAACATTGAAAATTCTACAAATTGGAAATTGAGAACTTGAAAATTTGAAAAACCGAAAAATTAAAAAATGGAAAGATTAAAATTGAGAAACTTAAAAATCCATAAATTGCAAAATCGAAAAATTTAAAAATTGGAGAACGTGGTATTTTTTATTGCAAAATTGTATGCATAGGTTCTCAGTGGGAAAAATCGAAAAAAATTCAATTAATTTATTACAGCGTCATCTGTCATGAATATAAAAACATGTTTTAGACAAACCCTACGTACTTTCAGCAGTAGAATCTGAATCTGTAAAAAAATTTGGGGTTTCTATTTAAGATTTCAAACATACCCCAGCCGACCTGCAAGGAGTGGGGAGGGGACCAGTTTTTTGCACTAAAGTATTTCCCCCCTGCCCTGGAATGTTTAAATTTTTAGTCTGGACATTTTTTGTAGAGTGTTGAGATATTTGAAAGTTTCAGGTTAAAAAAATCACCCTGTATACTGAACGAATCGCATAGACTAGTAGCGGTTGATTTACGCTGAACAAAACCATGCTGGCTATATGACTTAACTGACTAGATATGTGACTATACGAATTTTTAGGCATTATGGATGCAAACAAATTAGCGAAGTGAAAGATTAAACCGATGGATCTATAAAATTGGATCATATTTCTAGAGCCTGATTTGTGAACTTTTGATACTTACCACTAGTTGAAAATGGCTTCAGTAATAATCAAATTAAACATATAACAAAGAGGTTCACACAAACAATACAATACAATATAATGGAATGTTATCAAGAACCACTGTGAAATTTGATTTAAATTTGCTTTCTGTTTTGAAGATATCGTCATTTATCACAAAAATGCGGAGAGTAGACATTTCACAAATTGTATCACCTATTTTTAAATTTTTACTTAAGTTTATATTATTATCACAGTCACTAGCAGGAACGAAAACTAGGAAAATACCCAAAAAATATTCCCTGTCTCGTACATTTTTTTTTTTTTGCTGTATAGACCCGATTTGTTTATCATGACTTTCGTAGTCACTATATTTACTGTATAGCCATATATCTCCATAAAATTTTAACAAGCATTGAGAAAACCTCAGTTATTTCTTCATGAGCGTAAGCTAAGGAAGTATTGTAATCTAGTTCATCGGACGACTGGACATTTTCATAATTTCTCTATGTGTCATGACCCCTAGAATAAGAGAAAGTAATAGGTCTCTCTCGCTCTGTCTGTCTGTCTGTCTGTCTGTTCGCCGATTGTGTCGATTTTTGATAGACAGATAATCTCTGAAACTACCGTACCGATTGTTGTCAAATTTTGGATGTGTATAACGTAAAACGATAACCAAACTTTGGCTATCATCTCCACCAACATTGTGATTACATCATCTCAAAAATGTCTTCATTAAAATAATTTAAAAGTTATAAAGTAATATACCTACTCCCCGCTTTAGTTTTTCCCCTTGGCATCCATATCTTCGCAAAAAAATGCTCAATCTTTTACTTTTTATGAGCTAGGTCGGCCAAGATTCTCCGTGGCGCAGGCCGCATTCAAATAGTCGGGAAAACCGTTGTGTATTCCATCCTGAACACGATCCCTTCTTTTTTTGTCTTACACTGTGACGAGTACTTTATATTTTGTTTTCCTACATAGTGGTTATCACAAAAAAGTACAATTTCGCATAATCAAATTTTATCATTTTTCAAAGAAGCAGGATTTGTTGGATTTTACTTCAAGGACGAGGGAAGTTCTGTCGAAATACCCTTCGACCAATTTTTTTTATTTGGAAACCGTTCATTATCTTGATGATACAATTATTATCAAGGAGTGATTCGCATAAAACTTGTACTGCAGATATGTCGTTATAGAGAGGTTTATTTTACCGTGATTTATTTGGATGGAACTGCGTCGTTAACATTCTATGTGACCAGGATGCTTGACTGACGAAAATCTGACATAAATAATTACCATAGACTTGAGCTGTCACAACCAGTTTAAATTATAACACCTGTTTGATGATTTATCATTAATGATAGCATAGAAAATAATGAAAAAATTATACCTATAATTAATCGGAGATACATATCTTTTAAAATACTGGTGATATGTTGTCGTATATAATTATGTAAAAAAAGTAAAAATAATATGATGAGTGGTAATAATTTAGACACTCAGTCAGTAAAAAAGTGAAAATTATAACATATTTTGAACTTTATTCTTATTAAAGTTATTTTTGTTAACAATCAAAAACATGTATTATTTTATTAGCATTAAGTATACCATTGATATTGTCAAAACATTGTT